AGCATCTTTCTTTTTTTTATTATTATTGAGTATTTTAAGAAGCATCAAAGTGATTTGTGTTTCCAAATTCAAAAGGATCATATGAATCAATATTTTAATTTCTCTCTTATAAATGTTAACTCTCTTCTAAAATATAATTTGTCTTATTGGTCTTCTTGGATTATTCAAAGGGCTAAATTGAAATGGATGTTTTGTGGAGAAGATGATTTAGGTAATTTCCTTTACTCTAAAATAGAGTGCAGGCAAAATTCTAATAAAATTAATGGTATTTCTTCCTCTCAAGGGATTGTCACGGATCCATGAAGTATTATAGATATTTTTGAGAAAAATTTTAAGTATGTTTTTAACTCTCCCACTCAGGCTTTTGCTTATTCTTTAAATATACTAGCTAGAAAAGTTATTCCTGATTTCATAAGATCTTCTCTAGTTCTTTTGGTTTCGATTGAAGAGATTAAAAAGATTGTTTTTAATAGTCATAATTCTTCTACTCTAGCTCTAGATGGTTTTACTTTCGAATTTTTTAACAATACTTAGGAGATTGTTGGACCTTTTCTTTATAAAGCTGTTCTTTATTATTTTAATTTTGGTTTCATGCCTAGGGCTGTTAAGGTTATTGCTATTTCTCTTATTCCTAAAAAAATAATGCTACCATTGTTTTGAATTTTAGGCCTATTTCTTTATGCAACATTTTTTATAAGATTGTGGCAAAAATTTTAGCTAACAGGTTGCAATGAGTTATGCCTTTTATTATTTATAAAAGTCATGCTTGATTTATTAAAAATAGGATTTCTACGGACAATATCATACTTGCTACTGAACTTCTAAGAGAATTTAATTATTCTTTTGGATAAAACTTTTTTGTGCCAAATTAGATATTCATAAAGTTTTTGATACTGTTTACAGAAAAAAACAATTATTGCTAGAATGGTTCAGAAAGGTTTTCCTCAAATTGTTATGTCCTGGATTCAATGGTGTATTGATGATGTTTATTTTCTATTATTCTTAATGGTTCTATTCATGGGTTTTTTAGATCTTCTTTGGGTCTTCGATAAGGTTGTCCTCTTTCTCCTTATCATTTTTGTATTGTTATGGATGTTTTCTCTATTCTTTTGGATGATAATTCTCATAATGATGGTTTTGAGGGGATAAAGGGGGTGATGATTCTCTATCTCGTCTTTTATATGCAGATGATCTTCTCATTTTTGATAAAACCTCTTTTGAGAATGCTAGCAAGCTTAATGAAATTTTGGTTTATTTCTCTTCTGCTTTTAGTTTGTTTATTAATACTGCTAAGAGTTCTCTTATTCTTTCTAAAAATTGTCATTTAAAAAATGCTATTAGTTAAACTCTTTACATTAGTTTTTCTGTGTATTCTTTAAAATATTTCGGCTTGCCTCTCTCACGTAAAAGGCTTTAAATTTTATATTTTTAGCATTTACTTAGTAATATTACATTGCTATTGGCGGGTTGGAAAGTTATATTACTTTCTTTTGCTGGAAGGGTTCTATTTCTTAAATTTATTATTTTGAATGTTATTTCCTATTAGATCAGGGGTATTTCTCTTTCTAAATATTGTTTTAAATTTAGAAAAAAGATTTGTTCTATTTTTTTTTATGGAGATTCTTCTAGTACGAAGATTTATATCATTGTCTGGAAAGATGTTTGCAAGCTTATAGATGTTGGGGGTCTTGGTATTTTTGATCCAGAAGCTCTTTATTTTTCTTACAGTTGTTATCATATTTGGAGGATCATTAATGGCACTAGTCTTTTGGCTATTTGGATAAAGTTTAAGTATATCTCTTTTTGAACGCCTTGGTCTCAACCTATTTCTATTTTTTGGAAAAATATGACATATATTACTAGAGACATTAAAAGTAAGGTTATATTCAACATTTTTTAATAGTTCTCTTTCTCTTTATTGGGATCCTTGGTGTATGGGAAAATCTCTCCATGAGATTGCTTAGATTGCTAGAATTTATTTAGATTCCTCTTTATATAAATTCAAGTTTGGGTAATTGATTTCACATAGCTGTTGGAATTTGCCTATTTCTTTGTCAACATCTATTAGTTCGGCTGTTTCTTATATTTCCATTATTGACCAACAAGCTTCAAATATTTGTTGGAATGGAGTTCTTCTTCCTTCTTTCAAAATGTTTCATAATATTTTTTTTATGAAAACTTCACTAAAGTGGAATGGCGTCCTTATATTTGACAAAAAAATATATGCTTTGAGCTTTTTTTGTTATGCTTGGATGGCTATCTTAAAGGGTCTTAAAATGACTTATATTCTTGCTAAGAGAAATCTGAATGTTTCTACTTCTTTTATCCTTTGTTTAAATGCTGAAGAAAGTCATAATCATTTTTTTCAATGTGATTTTTCCTTCAGACATATTTCCAACTTTCTACTTGATATCAATTATTTAAGCTTAGACCTAAATTGGTGCAATTATTGGATTGTATTTCTAACCTTCATTTAGATTGAAATGTGAAAATTTTATTTTATTTTGTTTGTTGTTCTATTTATTTTATTTGGAAAGAAAGGAATTCCAGGATATATGAAAAATAATTATTCTTTCTCCGATTTAATGGGTTGTTCCATTAATAAGGCTTTGTTAGCTAAAATTTCTACTTGAAATTCCTTTCATAGCATTAAAGGTTTTCTGCCTAAATAGGGTGTTGGGGTTTTTCTTGTTGGTTTTTGATTCTTTGGGTTTCAGACTATAAGGAATGGGGCCTTCGATCTTTTCTTGTAAGGTTTTATTTCGACAACCAGGTTTTTAACTTTGGATGGTCGATTTTTGCAACCAAGGATTGGTTTTATTCTTTGTGTGAGGTGTTTTTTAGGAAGGTTATTCTCACTTTCTGAGTCTGGTGGGGGTGGTTAGTTGGGTCCTTACTTTTTTTTTGATATCTTGTTTTTTATTTTTTTCATTTTAGTTTTGGTTTAGGATTGGTGGCATTTTTTGTTGTTATGCAGTTCAGTTCTTATTGTATGTTAGCGATCTGCCTATTTTTGTTATGTGGTTTGGCTGTTGGAAGATTGGTGAAGTTTTATTACTTGTTTTAGCTGATGGGACCCAGGGTGCTTCTGGGTTTCTTATCTACTGAAGGCTTTTTTGTTCAAGTTCTGAACTCGGGATGGTCTTTTGTTGATTGATTTCTTCTCACTGATATTGGCTCAGTTGGTTGGTATTCGGAGACTTGGAGTGTAGCTATTTTGGCACTTTGATGATTGATTGCTTCTTCTTGATTTGTTGGAGGTTGATGTTGGCTCTATTGATTGGTACTCGGAGGCTTGGTGTGTAGCTATTTTGATTTATGGACTCAGATGTCTCTATTGTTGCCTATTAAAGTTAGCTCTATTTGATGGGTTTTTCCCATCTTTTTTCCAGTGTTATGTTTAGTTGCTGACTCTTCTTTGATGGAGTTGTGTTATGCTGGAATTTCTTTATTTTTTGCGGGTTCACTGTTTAACTTTGCCAGTTTTGTAATATGTTTTTTCTTTTGTTTTAAGGAGTTTTATTTTCTTTTCTTAGGTTTGTATTAATTTTTTCTTTGTTTTTTTGATAAATCATTTGTAATTTCCTCCTAACCTCCTTTTTTTTTTGGAATGAAATTGGGCGTGTATACCCCTCTTCTTTCTGAGAAATTATTATGTACGCAGTTCGAACACAGAATTGGGTTCGGATGCTGCGTATTTACTGCTTATTTTACTGCGTATTTTTTGATACATTATGTTTTCTACGTATTTTTTACGTATTAATTGAGTATTTAGTGAGTATTATTTATTTATGTGTTGCTTTTTGACACGAAAAAATTTGGTATCAAAAAATACGCAACACAGTAAGCAGTAAATACGCAGCATCCGAACGCGTTCGGATTACGTACAGCATAATTTCTCCTTTTTTCCCAAAAAAAAAAAAACTGTTGATTTTTTTTTTTACACTTTCAAAGATTCCCTTAAATCTCATTAGTCTCTCTCTCTTCATTTCTTTCTCTCTGGTCAAACCTTTCTCTCTCCGTTGGTTGAATTCGTTAAATAATTTGACGTATTCAAACACGCCAAAAAATTTAGCCTAATTCTGAACTATTTTGATCCTTTAGAAAGCATTAATGAACCAATTTCACCATTCTCTCTAATATTAGATATCTGCAGCAGCAAATTAACATAATTTAAATGTGTAAAAAGTCGGTTTCAATTTGTATGGCCAAGATCTTAGTTGTTAATAGAAAGAATGCATAAGATAAGCTGAAATTAAGGTAGTGACTGCAATAGCATAAAATGTTGGTTGTGACCATATTTTTTTTCATTATCATCAATTAGTTTTGGACTTGATTATGATCACTTTAATTTTAATTTTTATTTAAAAAATAATTTTATTTTATTTATTTTTTAAATTTTAAAAAATACTCAAAAAAAGCTTTAGCCATTTTTGATCTAAAATTCAATATATATATATATATATATATATAAAATAAATCAGGTCGAGATCATTCTTTTTTTTACTATATTACTAACCATGTACTCAAACACTCAAATTCGAATAAATTTTAAATATATTCTATATTAATATCCTTTAATGAAACAGCTCTTATGCAAACAAATCGAGTCAAAATAAATTCAAATTTGACTCATTAGCTCATTAAATTCACATCATGAGTTGAGCTGACTAATAATAAGAACATACCAAAAGTCACACTGAGTTACTCATTTGGGATGACTTTTTTAATATTTTTTGAAACAACTTTTTAAGCACAAAATTTTTAATTAAAAAATTATACTAAAAAATAGCAAAAAATTGTCTCAAATAAAACTCCAGCATAAGAATCTGCTAACATTCTACATGCAGCCATAAACCTTTGGTTTAGTATCAATTTAGGCTTTGTTTGGGATGACATTCATACAGCTTCTTAAAACAACTTTTCAATATAAAATTTAAAAAATTTAAACTAAAAAACTGTTTTAAGAAGCAGTAAAAAAAACTATCTCAAACAAAGCCTTAATGTAAAGTCCATAGTTATTGTTGATTGGTTAAATACAATGAAAGCAATATTGTATCATAGATTCTTTATAATAAATATTATTCTGCAACGCTGTAACACTTATCATTTAATTAAAAGTACTCGATTACAAAATTCTACAGATTTTAAAGTCGCAATACAAGGATTCAGAGTCGACTAATGTGCTGAAGAACTGTCACAGTTGGAGAAATGATTGTTCTTCTTGCTTGTCTGTTGAAGCTAATCAACGGAAGATAATAAGGGTAGCCATAATCATCTAACTATGTTTTCTCCTCATCTGACTGAGAACATGGCCCGTTGTTGTTAGTATCTGCAAAGTATTCCTCAACTGGAATATAGATAAACGCCAACTTTAATAAAGAACTTAAATTGTTTAGCGGTATTTGGAGCGAAATTATTCTGTGCGGAGGCCGGATGGAAAGAATCGTCCGGACTGTGAGTGTGTACAAAAATTTAATACACACTGTGTATAAATGTGTACACACTGTGTACAAATATGTACACACTATGTATACTCACATATTCGAACGGATCTTTCTATCCGGACTCCGCACAGAATAATTTCCAGTGTTTGGATGGTATGAATTTGAGTGACAGGAAATTTTAAAAAAAAATAGGTTAAAACAATAATTCCAGATTTCATTTCAGTTCCCACAGCTCCCTTCAATCCAAACAAGCCCTTTATTTTCAACAAAAAAAAGGTACTGTAATGATCTAATTCGATTTTCTGAGGATAAATTGGTTAAACATGAAGAATTTTATGCTTGAGACCTTATAAAAAAGGTATGCAGAAAAGTGAAAGGAAATAAGAAGAGGAAAAGCTATGCGCTTACCAATATCATCCTGTTCAGGTGAGTCAAGTAGGATATCAGAGTCTGAAGGCAGGAAAGGAGAGCCACTGTAATCCCCCAGAGGTCCAAGATCTGTGACATGATCCATGGCACATTTATATAAGATAATTTCAAATCAAGCTGATTTGTTTAAATATTCTAAAATTTAAATTAAAGCATGGCATGGTATGCTCTCTAAGGGGAGAGATTATTAGGTGCGGAGTGCGGACGGGGAGAACCGTCCGCACACAAGTATAGGGAACCCAGTTAGGTACCACTCGGTACCGCTGGGTACCGCGGGGTACCACTTGGTATCCTGTGCTTGTGCGAACGGTGTGCGGACGGTCCACACTCCGCACCTAATAATTTTTCCTCCAAGGGAAGGCAGCGTGACTCAGTAAGTTAATAAGTAATAACAGAAGCTGAGGATTGAGAAGTATTTCTACTACAGAAATAGCTCAACTCAAAAAAACAAAAAAAAAGAGTAGCTTAAATATCAAATATTACAGAATCAAACGATACAAAGTAGAAACGCAGGAACTGGAACAAGATATTTAAACAAATGGCACAAAAGTTAACAAGTGCATATCATTCTATGATATTTATTAAGGTCTAAGAAGGATTAAAGCCAGAGCAATGCCCAATCAGCAGTAACGGTAAGGCCATCTCCAACCGAAAAATCTATTTTTTACTTCAAAATACTGTAATTTATTTCCAACTGAACTTCATTTCTTAACATCAAAAAAGAATATTTTATGTATATCCTTTCTCATTATTTATATTTAATTTTATTCATTATTTTATATTTATCGATTTTTCAAATTAGGCTTAATTTTTTTAACAAAAATAAATCTTAATAAAATAAGTATTTATTAGATAAAATAAAAATTACATTAGAACGCATAAATTACATAATGTATTTATAAATAAAAAAATACTTTAAATAATTAAAATGAATAACATAACGTAAAAAAATTAAATATATAAAAATAGTGTATTTATAAATTATAAATTTTTAATTATTAATAATAAAAAACCTACATTTAATAACCTACAATTTTTAACTTAATTTTTTTACTTAAAAAAAAATTTGGCGTAGATGAACAGTGCTATTGGCGTCGCGCTGTTTTCCTCTAGAATTTGGCATGCGATTTAGTGTTCGGGTGGAGCAATTGGTGAACGGCAAACCAGCGTAAGAAGTTCGGTTAGAGATGGTCTAAGACATGGTTAAAAACAAAAGAATATATGAAATACGGCACCATTTTGTTGCATGCAAATGTAAAACATTTTTTACAGGAAACAGATAGGAAGCAACAACGAAAGCTCGTGTGTAGTGAATGTAACTTTCTCCATTCCGAGCGCTTCTTCGGCTCCTTCTGGTTGTTCGACTACGCTCCTTCGATGACTTTCCCTTCCTATGGGATTGGAAGTTACACATTTTGATTAAAAGCAAGGGAGCTCCCTTGCTGTAAAGGTAACTTTCCACCTTCCGCGCGCTTCTTTAGCCAAATCCAGTAAACCCATCGAACCAGAGAGGAGAGGAGGGTTTTAATTCTTTATAATTATTTTTATTATATTTAATTTTATTTAATTATAATTAGTAATTAATTATCAATTATAATTAATTTCAATTAATTATAATTAATCATTAATTAATTATAACTATAAGTAATTAATAATGACTAATTAATTATAATTACTTAATTATTATTATAACTAATATTAATTATAGTTAATTAAAAAGAACTGCCAGCAAGCCTCTATCTTGCCTCGATCCACATGCCCTCCACCTCACCGGTCGCCAAGGTATAACTTCTTGAACCCAAAATCTTGTCCTCGGCGTTCATATCGAGCCGGCAAACCGCCCATACACGCTTTTCTCTAGCATGGTGGGAAGGGAACCCGGTGCGACACCTACGG